CTCAGAGGATGAAAGAGACCACCCACGGAGGGTGAGAGGGGAATTTTTTTTTATTGATACGGCTATTATTTTTTCAAAAGTCACCAACAATCTTCTGCACCCTAAGCAAGTTTTCTACTTCATTCGAGTCCAGATAATAGAAAATGAGAAATGAAAAATGAAAGTGGCATCTGAACCATAGCTTTTGATTAGATTCTAAAACCCAAATAAATAAATGTCATTATACATTATACAAACTAGTATGATATTATTAAATCGATGTTCTCCTATTATAAATAAGTGATTTTATCTTACTCCCTTTTATCCTGTAAATATTGAGAAACCTTGATATTTCAACAGAATGTTAGGAAAGAATGAGCTTCTTCAAGCATCCCACATTTAGCCTCTATTGATCCGATGTCTCAAGGTTTCTTTAGCTGGCTGTCTCCTGAGTGTCTCACTGTTAAATCTGGGAGTTCAGCTCCAACAGTTCTTCCAACTGATGCCGTCTTCCTCTCCCCCTTGGTGAGGCCATACCCAGAGAGCCACTCCCAGATGCCTGCCCTGACTGGAACTAACCCACTTTAAGCAAAGAAGTCAGATCAGAGCTCACAAAAAGCTCATATTGTTGCTCGTTTCCCCACACCCTCTCGTCCCCACCTCCAGGCAGCCATGACAGGCTGACCTGATTTCTTACCCCTGCCCATCTTGGTGATTAGATAACAACTGTTACATAATGTCAGCTTCACATGGGTGTGTGTGTTGTGTGTGTGTGTGTGTGTGTGTGTGTGTGTGGTGTGTATGGGGCAGATAGGCTGGACCTTCACTGCAACCAGTCGAATTGGAAAGCCTCAAAAGAGCATCATTAGTGCTCTGAGGCATTTAAGGGGTTCATTTATGATGAATTTCATTTTGAGTTACCACCATCTCACAGCAATTAAGATGCAACAGGAGGCCGGATATAATCCATTTGTTTCAGCAAATGTCAATCAACTGGTCAAACCCACATAAAGAGGCTCACTGCTGACAAAGTGTCAGGAAAATAAATGCATGTCCACGATTATTCCAACAGGCAACAATCAGGCACATACACAAAAGAGCAAATGCAAAACAACAAAGCAAAGATTTTATGATGCATTCTAGGAAACTGCGCCCAAAAATAAGAAAGAAAAAAAAAACTGGAACACTGAATTCTGTAAAACGATGCTGCATTTAAAGTCTGCTTGGAAAAAAACGGTTTTATGTAACGCTAGTGTGTAAAAATAGATTCTAAATGATCTAATGTTTTATTAAAAACATTTTTCTAAATAAAATATGTCGTTAGCACCGTCTTCTCCTTAAAGATGGGTTTAAAAGTAGAGTTTTAAAGTTCAAACAAATATAACGTTTAAAACTGTGCTGATGTATAAAACTACAAGGGAAACCATTTTCACCACAGAATCTGAATAAATAGCACGTCCACACAATATTTTCACTGGAAATATTTGGATAAGATTTTTAGTCTAACATTTCCGATGTGCCCTGAATGCACCACTAAATTCTGAAGTCTGTCGCCGCACCCCACGTGGAGCTAGCATGCTCCTCCACTGGAAAACTAGGTCACCTCGCGCCGCTTCACGTGTATCCGCAGCAAAAAAAACCACACTTCACGGCGGGGTGAATTATGTAATGCCTTCGTCACCGCCCAGCTCGACCAATGAGCGGAGACGTAAGGGAAGCGTAAACACATGTGCACATGGCTATGCTGATGGGTCCATGTGAGAAGAGTAGACTGCAGTGCTGCCAAAGCAAAGTGGACGGCCAACAACAGCAACCCCCCTCCCCACCCGGCAGTCCTAACCCAGTTTAATATTACCACACCGCATTAAGCTACGACCATCAGCACTTATTCTGGATGTAAACACGGACCAAAGTATAAATTATTACTATACGACCGTGAATAATTTTGTGGCAAAACAAGGCAGTTTTAGTCCAGCTGAACTGACAGCAACAAGCTGCAGTCTCTTGGCGTTTAAATGACACTCACCAGCTTTGCTCGAGTCCATGTCCATATCCTGCGAGTTGCCCCTCTGCTACCTCGTTGCTGAAGCCGTGTTTGATTTGGTTCTCAGCAACTAGAAAGTCGCTGGTAGATAACGTTCGGGGGGCAAAAAACTGCGCTTTGGGCTAAAACACTGAAATCACGAACTTTAAAATCGAATGGAAGCCCAGAGGAGACAGCCCAACCAAGTTAGAATCTCACAGGAATGAAGAAAAAAAAAACTAAGTTTAAAAAAGCGACTTTCAATGACGCAACAAAAACCCCCAGCGAAACCCGGGCTTATCTCAGCTGGAAGGTTCCGTCCTGCTTTCACTCTGCTCCAGTAACCGAAACAGAGCGTCTTCTGTAGAGCTTCCTACACGGAAAACTGGTTCATTATAAGCGTAGCTCCAGGTGAGGAGGACTGGCTCTGAAAGCGAGCAATGGGCAACCATGTGACCCAGTTCACCGGCTCCTCCCACTGCAGCCTGCAATGGTGTCAATGTAACCCACTGACATACTTTCACTAGAGCGAACAAAGGCTCCTGGCAAGCGGATTCGACGTCCGGAGAAAACAACAAAAAGTTGCTCATTTACAGACCATACTGAAAACACTTCAAAAAGGGAATCAACTAATTTTACACAAAGATTTTTTTGTTGATGCGTTTGTTTGTGACAGATTGTGGAGAGACAGTCTGAGACATCTGATCCAGACTGTTCTGAAACCTGTTCTGTTTGTCAGCTAACTTTCTAAAGCTTATCCTTACAAATACTCAGATTCAAGCTGCTGTGTTAATTCAGATTTATAGTGATCATGAACTGTAATCATAACTCTGGTAAATGCCTGATTTGGTGAAAACATCATTCATCAGTTAAATGTGTTTGGGCCATAAGAAGTATCAGCAGAAGTTTTCTTATGTATGTAATATGGCTTCAAACACAGGGTGACTGACATGGGTCACTGATGAAAAATAAATATATTAATTATATATCTACATACATATATTAGGTAACACTTTATTTGAAGGGG